GAGCATTGACGGAGATTGCCGTTGGATCTGAAACTGCCAACGCAGAAGTTCGAAGGAGATTCATGGAAGCGTCCAATGCTTGGATCGACGAAACGTCTTGAGTCAAAGTCTTGTTCCGTTCGGCCACTGTATCAACAGCGTTGCCGAGGTGGACAAGTTCGTCGGTAGCAGCTGACTGCCAGGCACGGGTAGACGAAAGGGTTTCGTCCACTCGGTGCGAAAGGTCCAAGGTCGCAGCTTGGTGTTCGAGGGACGAGTCTCGCAAGGTTTCGACTTGGGCTGAAACGTAGTCTGAAAAACTTTGGAGTGAGGTATATTTGCGAGATCCGCACTGACCAAAAATCCGACTCGGTCGTAGCTTGCATGATCGAGTTGTCATTCGTCTCCATTTCACCAAAGTCGTCGAGAATGGATCCGATGGGAGGTGGTCCGTCAAGCATCAAGATTGGCGGCATCGTTAATGACGGCCTTTCATCAGTCGCGTCGTTCTCCATAGGTTCATCGTGGCGAACGACAGGAGCCAGACCAAACGGTAGGTCCGGTTCAAATACCGTCAAGTGCTAATGACGTTCCACGATAGGTTGATGAATGGGCACCATGTCGAGTAGCGGACTGGGCTCGACATGGTCCGTGATGTCCTCCACACCCATGGATTCATCTGGACGGGCAGACACAACGTGATCCATCAGTTGGAGGGGAGTTCGAGATCTCGGATCAACGTGAGCGACAGGGGACAATCCAAATGGTAAGGCAGGATTGTAGACGGCAGTCTCGTGAACGAAGTCGGAAGCCGGCAGGACCAGACGAGTCGGAGACGAAGAGTCAAAGCGCGATCTGGTCTGGTCCAGTACTAAACTGGTTTCGTAGTTTTCGGGAGAAGCTCGTCTCGCCACCGTCAGCGAGTCGTCACCACATGCGTAGATTCCATCAAGACTGGTACACCATGGGCGTGGGTGGACACTTGGGCCAAGTGATGAATTGTTTCGGTCGCAGACTGCACGTCAGAGGTCAGTAGCGATAACGTCCCAGGCGTAGGACTTGACGAGGAGTAAGAGTCGTTCGAGTCCAAGCGCGCAATCAGACTTGTAGAGGTGAGCGGGACAACAGACTGGGTCAGCGTCTCGTCGTTGTTGCCCTCGGTGAACATGGACTCGTCTGACTTGTTTTCGTCGGAGCTAGCTTCAGCCATATCGTCTGTGTATACAAGCTCTTCAGACGATCTTCGGGGCTCCATGGATAGATCACTCTCGTCGTCGAGGAGAGAGGCCAGTTCACGACGAGCGGTTGTCAAGGTAGTATCGGCGGCCTCATCAGAGTCTTCGGCCGCTTTGCTTCGTTTCTCTAAGTCTCGTTGCTCGGGCGAGTTGGAATGGTGTTGGATTCGGTAGTTGATGTCTCGCTTTAACTGTTTCTGGACAGGGGTGCCTTGGGCAGGTTCAGGCTGACTTTTACACTCTTCATCAGAGCTGCTACTAAGGAGAACTTCGTCGTCAGCCACGCTCACGAGGTCAAGTCTCGTATCGATCGGGGCTGGGATGGCTGAGGCGACATCCGTGTCCTCTGCGATTGCTTGAACGGGAGGTGGATCGAGAGGCCTTTGCTCATCCAGATGTGCTGGATTTCTTGGTTTGGCAGGAGAGATACCCTGATTCTCCACCATTTTTGTGACGGTCGTAGGGGTTAGACGCACAAAAGTTACGAAGGTCCGGAGGTTCGGACTTCAGGACCGGATACTCTCGGCTTGGCCAAGAAGAACACAGCAAGAAAGGAGTAGATCCAATGTTAGGCAAATGTAAAAGTGAACTATCTAAAAACTAGCTAAAGCTGACGACCTTTGGGAAAAGGTCCTGTAGAATAAAAGGCAAGACGGTCAAATTCGAAGGTAGTTGGCCCGTCGAATAATATACCTTTGCGATGGTAATACCACGATGCCCATGCTCCAGCTCCGTCACACTAATTCTGATTCCATGTATGTATTCTGATCCCGGGATTGGATTTTGATGGTATACGTTCTGACTGATTCACCACCGTTTCGTATGCCTTCCTTTGACCCTCCCCCCGATATGTATAGCGACCCCACCTCGTCTGCGCGAAGCCGAACAAGCATTGGAGCAAGCCCTTCGCTATGACTTGGTGGTGTACATATCAATATACTACATATCCCGAAAAAAACACATTTATACATATTGTATATATACGTAGATAATATATCCCTTGACGTCGTGAGTATTTGGCTAGAACACGACCCTGCTCCGTGAG